AAAATCCCACACTCAAAACTGGATACCATAATTGGTGAATATCTCCCCACGAGTTACTCAAGTGTGCATTCCTCACCTCCACCGATTTACATCCCTAAACGAATCGCCGCGACACTGGCATTACTTCCACCTTGCCCAAAGCTCTCCAATTACACGCACACAGTGGTTGACGTGGAGCATTGTCCGACCGTTGGCTCTGTGGATGCAATGTACAGACAACGTTTCATGCCAATTCCAGTCAAGCTGTTGTGTCAGGAATCACGCAAAGCACAGCCCATTGCCACCTACATTGCTCTTGTGCACATTCACATGGAAGCACCGACCCACAAGATCACACAACTGCAACCCACTGCAGTCACAGCACGAGTGTGTCATTTCGGCTACCAATCCACCGCTAAACACACACTCAGGCTCCTCCTACAAGAGAGCAACCGAATTGGTGCCTCACTAATTTATGCTTATATACACACACTCATACACACACACGCAGGGAGAGAGAGAGAGAGAGAAAGGAAGAGGGAGAGAAGGAGAGGGATGGGAATTGGATTTGCAGGGTGGCCAAAACAAAGCCTAGTGAGTATCCATCACATGCTGCATTATGGCCTCCCTGTCACAGCTCGAGAAGGAGCACATGGGACACATCATCGCGTCGCTCGCCACCACATCACCACTCCCTCCCTCCAAATGCACGCCTTTGACCTTGCAGGCGGAGGAGAAGGAGCAGGAAGAGGAGGCGAAGACGGCTGGCTTACACGCCTCCGTCTCCCGACTGACACATGCTGCACGTGGATTTCCTTGCGCCATTGAAAGACCCGCGACAGTCTGCCCTTCCCCCGTCCACTTCACACTGCTAGCAGCCATCCTCAACACACTCGGCAACAAAGCACTGACAGGAGGACTCTGTCTTCTCCACGACCTGGCATTACCACTCCCCAGTGATGCACATGATTTCTTATTGCATGGCCTAATCCTCGTGCCTTTCAACCGCGCAGCGCTTTTCGCAGTGCCAAGTGATTTCAAGGAGTCTGAGGGTGCAGCACCCACAACTGTGCTTGACGACTCTCCTTTACTGCAAGGCGTTTCGTGGCATTTCAAGTAGCTGGCAACACCATTCGTGAGTGACTTTGTTGAGTGCGCTGCACAAGAAGTCACACGTCCTGATAATTTAGCCGCTGACATGATGGAAACAGGCTGAGGTGACTTGCGTGCACCCAACCATCCAGCGTTCGTCAATGCTGTCGATAACTGTGGAACAGTTGATGCAACACTCCGGGCCACCACCTTCTCCTCAACCTCGGATACTGACTTCAACCCATCAGGTGCAGTGGTGCAAGCACCAGCTTCAGGTGTGCTT